CCCCAAAACCCCAAAACCCCAAAACCCCTATTTATAACACTGAAATTGATATCTTCTCAATACTCAATTTTTACAACAAACAATTCACATTTACAATTAAACATCACCCCCATTTTCTTTCCTTACAAAAAATGAGGTCTGGCATAAGCCACAACCTTCCTTCCAATTTCATTTTCAATCTTCTTAATCTCCTTCTGTCAATACTCCTTAGTCTCTATCACTAACCTCCAAATCTCACCTAACATTTCACTCTCCCCTGGATCCTTATACTTCTTATAAACATGCTACCAATAACCTCCATCACTTACATCAAAAAACTCCACGACCATGGCCTTATCCCTACTATCTCTCTCCATTCCAAAGGAAGTAAACCCTCCTTCCATTTCCTTCTGGCACCACTGCATGTACTGTTCATGGCCTAAATTTTGTTAAGTTCTCTTATTGGCTTAAAAATATAGAGCGGAGTTTTCAGGTTTTGGGTTGGAAGATAGGATTGGGGGACGTACGGATTTTGTCTTTTTGTTTTTGGGCTTTGGTGTTGTCGTCCTTTTTGATGTCGGAGAGGTTTTGGAGCTTGGATTTGGGGTTTTGGGGGGTGGGGTGGGCTAAGGGATGGGAAGGAGGATTACTGTTGGGGGAGGGGTGGTGGAGGTTTGAGGAGGGAGGGTGGGGTTTTGGGATTTTGGGGTGTGGTAGGGAGCTTTGGAGGGGTTAGAAAGGGTTTGGAAGGTAAAAGAGGATTAATGGTATTCGAAATTTTTTAGAATTTTAATAGAAATTTTAAAGTTTTTGTGATTGTGTGAATTTTACATACTTTTGTTCATCAGAATTTATAACAGTCAAGTGCTTTGCTTTATTTCTTGTATTCTTCTTAAATTTCTAAACATAAGCCTTCTTCCTTGCCTTCTCACAAACCAGCTTAGGATACTCCCTCTGATAAGCCAGTGGCAACTTCACATGCATCCTTGATCTCGACTTCTTGGCTAAAAAGGATTACTGGGGAGGTACCTTTCCTCTTCTTCGTGTTCTCAAAGCTAGCCAACAGCTTGTGGTTCCTAGAGTAGGATTAGGCTGGGCTAGTGAAGTATTTTAGGGGGTTTAGATGAGGGATAAGGGCTAGGGCAATGGTGTAGAGGAATTACTTGTAGAAGTTTGAGGTTGTTTTGAGCTGGAATATTCCAGTCATATCCTAGAATTAGGGGTTGAAAGTACCTTTGAGTGGGGGAGGAAGTTAGTGGCTGTTCGGGTCTTTTTAGAAGCTTTTAGGTCTTTATTTTGATAAGTTGTGCTTTGGATCTGGAAATTTTTATGAGAAGGATATTGGTGATGCATTAAAAATAATGTTAAATTTTATTTTAATATCTTTTCACATGTTTGTAAGTCATCAAGAAATCTGATAAAATGTAATTTTTTACACAAAGGAGTTAGTATCTCAGTGACCCAGACAAAGTTTCGAATGTTTTAATAGTGTCTCAAAGTCTCACAAAAGAGAGGTTACCTGATTTATTAGGTTTCGGCTTAGTAGATCTCTTGATAAATTTATCCTCAGACAACACATGTGTTCTTGCTAGCAAATTATTAGCTGAGTTCTCTTTCAGGATAGAATGAGTTATGGATACACTGTTGCTACTATGCTGAGATGAATATGAAGTTTTACAGGATACTTTTAGAACCCTTTTTGGATTTATTTGAGAATCCTGAACTTTGACAAATTCTGCTTGAAACTTAGAAATTTCGATGATTCGTTAATCTTGGAATTTTTAAACCAATTCTTTGTAATGGCTAAGGGTTTAGTAAATTTTAGGTTCACTTGAGGAATGGAACTTATTGTTATTTGGCCTGTATTTTAATTAACTGATGTACCTTGGTATTTCTTCCTGTGCTTTTTGAACATTTGGTCTATTTGTAACATATTCGGCTTACTGTGACATGATATCCAGATCTGTAAGATCTTTTATTCCATGATTATTCAATCTTATAGGAGATGTATTATTTTCTAGTTATGTTTCTAAAGAGAAAATTATGATAAGATTACTTGTTAAGAGAGGTTATTATCATTGAATTGAAGTCTGGTTTGACGTTCTTCCGTTTCTCCTGCAATTTCTTTCTATTTAAACTATTCCCAACTGTTTTATGAAAGTTTATAGCAACCTTCCTCCTACTTTAGGTTTCGAATAACTGAAATCTATAGAGGAAATAACTTATCCTTGAAAGTAGTATTTGGGAACAGAGCTTGAAACCTTACTTTTCCTGGGATGGTTTGCTTTTAGTATTGGAGTGGTATTGGTCACTCGAATATTTTTAGCTTCTCTTGGTTCTTCCTTCTTATTTCTCATATGGAAGGCTGTCTTTTGAGTAGAAGCCATGCTTGAATGCCTACTAACTCTCTTTCTCTTTTTTAATTGTTTTCCAGTACTTGGACGTCTATTATGTCCAATTTTTATACCTGGGATTGTTACTTTAATTTCGTTTTTGCCGTTTAGGTGACTTTTATCAGCCTCCATTTGTAAATTTATCAAATTTCAAGGTCTTATTTAATAAAAGGGGTTTTGGGGTTTTGGGGTTTTGGGGTTTTGGGG